GAGCCAACATAAGCCTCATTGGAATATTCCCAAATCCCTTTTTTCTCATGTGTTTCACATTTTGGTAATGGCATCCCCACCCCACCAGTGGCACCAGCAAAATTCTAGGAATAATCTCTAAATCCTCCTCATTTGGTCTTGCTTGCTTCTAATTCTATTTCTGAAATCTCTCTTCCAACCTTTTTCTTTCTTCTCCATCTTGTCCATCTTTACCTTAACCACCTCACTTTAGTAGTGTGGTTCCCTACACTACTAAAATGGCACCAAACTCCTCTTTCTGCCACTAATCTTCCCAGAACACCCAGACCTCTACTTACAAGTTAACACACACCTCAAACCTTGAAGTCTTGGCTCCCAGCTTGCTTCACAAGAGCCCTCACCATACCAGGGCACAACAATGGCTAAAAATATATGCCAAGTGGACATTTTAACTAACATTTAAAAAAAAAGTAAAGATACAAAGTAAAACAAGGTATCCTTTGTGTTCATGAAATATACAAAGACATCTAACAAATTATCTATAAAGCATGGTAAGCACTGCATACGTTTTTGTTAAAAAATGAAACCAACTTTACAAAGACAACTTTAATATGATTTCAAGATTAGCAATGCTGCACTGAGGTGTATAGTCTTACAAACTATTCTTAGTATTATATGTGTCAGCTCACTTGTTCCAGAGAATTATTCAGTATGTTACAAGCATTAAAAAGTATATGCTCCTAATTTTATATTCCCAGTCTAGAAATATTGTTAATCTATCCCTCCTCTCCTCATAAGGTTTTTGCAGACAGTCATCATGGCACGAATTATGATATAAGAAAAGAATATATAACCATTGAAATATTAGAGCTTTTTGAACAGGAAAATATTTAGGATACAATGCTAAGGGAAAAGCAAGATTCAAAACTGTTTTCATGGCATCATTAATGGGGGAAAATAGGCATGCAAACAATAATGATAAGGATGAACTGCTCTGCACTCATTATTACGGCTGGTCCCTTCACACATTTCTCCCCCTCTATTTCTTTTTATGTTTCTGTACTTTCCAAACACTTTACTATAGGCATTTCTGCATTCAGAAAAATACATTACAGGTCTGGAGATGTATGAGTAATAAACAAAAAACAGTAAATAGTAAAAAGTGAAAAAGCAAAAGAGAAATTCAGGTTGAGTTATTTATTAAATGATGGGAACTTGCCATAACCAGATTCAACGTTACTTTGGGAAAGAAGTGGGAAGCCCTGAGTACGAAGCCCCTAAGGGCAGAGACTTGCAATCAAGATCAATAAACACCTGAGCATTTAGAAAGAGTCTATTACAGCTTATGGGAATTCAGAATCCAATTATAAGGTCCTGACATTCTAAGATTTCCTATTCAAATGAGTTTCCCAAACAATCCTAAATAACCCCCTTTATAAAGCCACTGTGGAAAATGACAAAAAGACTCAAGTTACTTCACATCAGGCTTTAGCTGTGTGTATTAATGCTTCAGTGGTCCACGATTTGTCCTGCAATATACCCACATACTCTCAAATTCAGTGTAATCTAATAAAATGGTTTTAAATAGAGCTTTCATACAAGAAACAAAGCTCTTATTTTGCAAGAAAAAAAGAAAGACACCTTGAGAAACACCTGAGGTAAAGATCTAAGGATTTAGAGGCACAAAAGCCTCAGTTCAAAGTCAAACACCATCATTTATAAACTGTATGACCTTACTCAGATTGTTTACATTCTCTGAGCAAATACAGAAATAGAAAACGATGAGCTCAAACTTCTAAGACTTCAAGTGTCAGTTATAACCATCACACTCATTTCTTCTAAAAGCCATATGTGTTTTATCGCTTGCTTTTAACCTTCATTCTCTAAAGAACAACATCTTAGAACTTGGTAAGCATTAATATTTGAAAAACATTATACGTAGTTGACATTTTAAACTATATATTTTCATGACATTACAGAGATTGTTCTGCTGTGTGGCCACTGGACACCAATATATAATTCTAAAATAAATGAAAACATTGGGAGCATAGTGAGGTCCCTGGTGAGAACAAGTAAAAAGTGTGGTATTTAAGCAAATATGCTACATACAGCTATCTTTAATGAGAAAAAAATAAGTTGCTAGTAAAATGTTAATTTGCATTTGGCCCTTAGGGAAATACACAGATGGTACTACCTACTGAAGACATTACATATTGATATGGTCAGGGAACAGGGCCTGAGGGCCAGGCATATAAAAAGAATGCGGCAACTTCTGTCAGAAAGTTAAAATAGAATTCAGGTCTCTCTCAACCTCAGAAGTTAGTTTTCAAAATACATTCCTGATTCCCCTTCTTACTCTTCATTTCCTGTTTTGCTCCTAAAACTGCTTAGTATTTTCAATTTCACCGCGTTTTAATTAATTGAAAGTTTACATTATATTACATTAAAGAAAAATACCCCAAAGGACTCTTAAAAGTTTTATAGACAATTGAATATCGGAGCCATCTGTTCAACAGAATTAGATAATTAATTTGGTGACATCCTTTTAATTTTTTATGCCTGTCTTAATGTATACAATACCTGATTATGCCTCTAAGCAAAAACATGCCACAGAATGAGTTTCAATTTGCTTTGAAATTGCTTTCTCCAGTCAATTGTTTACTTTATCATATCAAGGTCATTTTAGAACCTATAGGTCTTATTCTAGCTAATGGCTCCAGTAGGACACAGGAAGTCAAAGCTAAAACAATTAAGTCACTCAAAAAATGAAAAGTAGACAATGTTTTAATTATACACATGACTATAATATTATAGTCATCCTTTGTTATCCATGAGGGATAGGTTCCAGGACCCCCTTGAATACCAAAATCCATGGATGCTTCGGAACCTTACATAAAATGGCATAGTATTTACATATAATATTCTCCTGTATACTTTAAATCCTCTCCACATTACTTATAATACCTAATACAATATAAATATTATGTAAACCATTACTATACTGTCTTATTTTTTATTTGTAATTTTACTTGTAATTTCTTCCCCAAATATCTTCAGTCTGCAGTTGGTTGAATCCCTGAATCCATGGATGTGGAGGGCCAACTGTATAATGACTCTCCAGAGCAAACTTAATACAGTACCTCTGTATACCTCCACTAAAGTCAAAAGGCAGATAAAAACACCTCTTTGTCAACAACAAACAATCTTAAGAGGATGATCAGAAAATTCATACAAATAGAACATGCTGGGATTTATAAGTACACTAACAAAAACAGTAGGATAACTTCAAGGAGCTACCCCACCCAAAAGAAAAGCAAACTCCGGTGGCTCACGCCTGTAATCCCAGCACTTTGGGAGGCTGAGGTAGGTGGATCACGAGGTCAATTGATCGAGACCATCCTGGTCAACGTGGTAAAACCCCATCTTTACTAAAAATACAAAAATTAGCTGGACATGGTGGCGCGCGCCTGTAGTCCCAGCTACTCGGGAGGCTGAGGCAGGAGAATTGCTTGAACCAGGGAGGCGAAGGTTGTGGTGAGCCGAGATCGCACCATTGCACTCCAGCCTGGGTAACAAGAGCGAAATTCCGTCTCGGAAAAAAAAAAAAAAAGAAAAAGAAAAAAGAAAAGCAAATTCCACTTTTTACCTCCCAACTTCCTCCCATTCCAAGTTCACAAAAAATAAGAGACTAGCCAAAAGTTGGAAGAACATGCTCCTATCTCTAGATTGTCACCAACAAATGTCTGGCACAGCATTTTTTTTTTCCCAAGACAGAGTCTCGCTCTGTTACCCAGGCTGGATTGCCGGAGTGTAATCATAGCCCACTGCAGATTTCAACTCCTGGTTCAAGTCATCATCTGCCTCAGTTTTCCAAGTAGCTGGGACCACAGGCATGTGCCACCATGCCTAGCTGATTTTTTTACTTTTTATTTTTTTGTAGAGGCAGGGTTTCACTTTCTTGTCCAGGCTGGTCTCAAACTCCTGGCCTCAAGCAACTCTCCTGTCATTCTCCCAAAGTGCTGTGATTGCCAGTGTGAGACACTGCACAGCCATAATAAATGTTTTAAGCTAAAGGCAACTGTAACACTTTAGAACACCCAAGGATAAAGAACATTAAAACATTTACGAAAGAATAAATTATTTAAAAATAAATGGACTATAGTCAACCTAGTCACCCTACTATGCAATAGAACATCAGGATTTATTTCTCCTATAAAACTGTAATTTTGTACCCATCGACCAACCTATCTCTAAACCCCTGTACCCACTACTCTTCCCAGCCCTATAATAGTAACCACTATTATACTCTATTTTTATGAGATCAACTTTATTAGATTCCGCATGAATGAAATTATGCAGTATTTGTCCTTCTGTGCTTGGTTTATTTCACTTAACATATGGTCCTCTAGATTCATCCATTTTGTCACCAATGACAGAATTTCATTCTCTTTTTTATTATAAATAGTAGCCCTTTTTATAGTTAAATAGTAATGGTATAAGTATATACACCACATTTTCTTTATCCATTCATCCAATGACAGACACAGACACTTCAGTTGATTTCCATATTTTGACTATTGTGTACAGTGCTGAAGTAAACATGGAAAAAAAAATATATATATATATACATATATATATGTATATATATCTTCAATACAAATTTCATTTCTTTTGAATAGATACCCAGCAGTGGATTACTGAATAACATGGTAGTCTTATTTTTAATTTTTTGCAGGACTCTCATTCTGTTTTCCATATGGCTGTGCCAATTTACACTCCCACTGACAGTGTATAAGAGTTCACCTTTCTCCACATCTTTGCCAGCATTTATCTTTCATCTAATTGATAACAGCCATTCTAACTGGGGTGAGATAATAGCTCACTGTGGTTTTCATTTGCATTTCCTTGATAATTAGTGACACCGAACATGTTTTTCATATATCTGTTGACCATCTATATGTCTTGAGAAATGCCTATTCAGATTGTTTACCCATTTTTAAATTAGATTATTTGGGGGGGGGGTTGTTATTGAATTGTTGGAGTTCCTTGCATATTCGGGATATTAAACCATTGTCAGCTGCATAGTTTGTGAATAATTTCTCCCATGCTGTAAGTTGTCTCTTCACTCTGTTTTTTTGTTTGCTGTGGAGAAGCTTTTTAATCTGATGTAATCCTATTTGTCCACTTTTGCCATAGTCAACAATAATGTATTATATATTTCAAAATAGCTAGAAGAGAGGATTTTTAATTTTCTCACCACAAAGAAATAACAAGAGTTTCAGGTTATCGATATGCTAATTGTTCTGATTCGATCACTACACACTGTGCATATATATTGAAACATCATAATGTGTCCCATAAATATGTATTGTTATGTGTCCATTCAAAACAAAACTTATTTTAAAATGAACAAAACCAGACTGCATGTTTTTCATTGGCAACACTAGAAGCTAGAAGATAGTGGAGTAGTATCTTCAAAATTCTGAGGGAGAATGATTTCAACCTGGAATTCTATGCCTAGCCAATTTCCCCATTAAAATGAGGAAAATTTTAGAACTGCATAGAATCAGAAAATTTATCACACACTATTTCCTACAAAGGTGGCAGATTAGAAAACAGAGGCTCCAATTCAAAAGAATTATGAAAAAAATAACGGCAACTCAGCCTGCTGTCCAAACACTAATTCAGAGCAAGCTTTAGCGAGGCTACAGGAAGGATATATCTGCAGAGAGAGGCAAAAAATGAAGACATTACTGCTGTCCTTTGGAATAGTGATTCTCAAACTAAATCAGACACAACATCCCACGTCTGGATACTCTCCCTTGGTCCTCAAATTCACGCTCTTCTCTATTCTCTGCTCTGTGCCTTGGGAGGCTAAGAAACAGTTAACAGTAGACATTTTTCCTTTTCAGATTCCCTTTTGGTTTCCCTTTTGGTGAAATGTCATCACATAATCCGAGGAAAGAAGAGAAAGAAGACGGGAGATTTATCCCTTGGATCCCTCCCTGCCACAGAAGGTGGGACAGTGACCAGAGGCTTCACTAGAAACCACAGCTTCCATAGGAAAGCCTCTCTCTCGGCTATAGTTCTCACTCAGTTCTGGCCACAGCTCCCGTCTGCCCACTGAGGCCTAGGAGGAGTAAGGGCTTCCCTCTATAGTCAATTCCTGAATGACTCACCACCCCTCATTGGTTCCCTAAATATTGCCCAACCTTCTGTAACTTGTGAACTGCTCTTTAGAGTGTGACAACTATTTTCTGCTGGACCCTAACTCAGTAATAATCAATATGCTCCCCTTTGATTTTTTAAAAAAGATAACTCTTTTTGCTATCCAGAATGTAATGTATAGCTAAATTATCTGCACAGATATTTTCAGGTAAATAAATAAATACATTATCCTAACTGAAATAAACAATAAAATAAGTGAAATAACGTGTGTTTTAATATGTAAACATTTAGATATAACTGGTCAAGAAGATAAAGTAGATGTGTACACCCACTTATAAAGAAGTCTGGGTTTAGGGGAAGTTAAGCAATATTTAACTGAATGCTGTCAACACTATTTTTTTTGATATTTTGAAATAAGGGCTTAACAGTTTTTGTACATAGCCATAAAATCAAGAAGAATGTGACAACCAAAAACGAAGGCTGATACGAGCATTCTGTATTGGTAAAACAAATATCACAACCATTATTGCTGTGTGGTGACATTAATTTTCAAAACAGTGAGCAATTCTCAGAAAAGTTGCTAATAAAAAAATTTCAGTCTTTCCTGAATCTACCTGGGTGTCTTCTACACATTTTCAAAAACTTGCCATATATTAAAATCATATAAAATATACTTTGTATTGTATAAGTAAATAATTATTTCTAGGCTCAAACAATTATGAACATGCTTTTACCTACATAATGACTAAGAGGTGACTGAGATGTGATGTAAGAAGAAGAATAAGTCTTCATCGTGCATTTCAGAATTTCTAGAATCCCTGGACCCTACCCACTAAATACTGTAGCAATGCCCAGTTGCTGGGAAAATTTAAAATCACCCCCCCCCCAGATGTTTTAAATCTCTGCCAGGGAGTATTAATAGTCCCATTGAGAACCAGGTTTATAATCTGGAACAACTTAAGGAGGCAACGAAAGAAGACAAGATGGGTAGGGAAGAAAAAAAGTTAAAACTACAAAGTAGTTCAAACTAACATATATGTCGTGCAGACAAATGTGGTGGATCTTGACCATATAAGCTCCATTAGGAGGTTTTCAACTTGTAGAATCAATAACTTAAAAGTATAGAGATCTTCATGAGGATTACAGAACATAAAATAATCAACCTTAGGAGGATTACAGAACGTAAAACAATCAACCTCCAGAAAAAATAAGTCTGGGATGCAGATACTCTTGGCAATTGTTTCAGACTCTCTTATGTCTGAGCCAGTACCTTTGAAATTCCATTAGTATTTTCCTCAGAGTCATAATATGATTGCTACAACTCCAGAGGTTGGATGGAGACAGCAAGGCTAAAAACGTGTTCTCTGTCATACACCAAAACTATACAAAAATAAAATTAGCCAGGTGTGGTGGCATGTGTCCCAGCTAATTGGGAGGCTGAGTCAGGAGGATTGCTTGAGCCCAGGAGATCAAGGCTTCAGTGAGCCATGAAATTGCCACTGCACTTTTTTGTTGCCTGGGCAACAAAATAAGACCCTGTCTAAAAAATAAAAAATAAAAAAAAAATTAAAAAAAAAAATCTTATGTCCATGGCCACCTGTAGCTCTCAGGAAAGTTAGAAAAGCAAGTATCTTACGTAGGGCTAGAAATATTACAGTAAGAAAGAAGTAGAGAAAATGACTATCAAGTAGGGAATTAACACTGTCAGCAAGAAATGCAAGGCCATAATGTCTTTATCTGAAGGAATAAGACATAAAGGGATAAGTATATTACTTAAATTACAAGGAGATACATATACTATTTAAATTACACTGCAAACCGTAGTTAAGATATGGGCCCTAGACTCCTTCCGACTTGTAGCTCTGTTATTCTCAATAAGTAGCAAAATCTATTTGTCCAAATGGCTGCTCTAACTCCTACCACACTGACATTGATACTCCAGCCAGTAGGAAAGGGAAAGAGACCAGACAGGAACCATTTCTTCCCTTTTAGGAAATGCCCCATAGGTGTATACTCATCACTTCTCTTTGTAATGTTTGTCCCATCAACCCTTGTATTAAAATTTGATCTTAATGTTGGAGGCAGGGGCCTAATGGGAGGTGTTTGGGTGATGGGGGTGGACACCTCATGAGTAGATTAATGCCCTTCCTGTGGTGGGTGGTGAGTTCTCATTCTGTTAGTTTCCATGAGGGCTGGTTGTTACAATGATTCTAGCATCTCCTCTCACACTCTCTCTCACCATGTAATATCTGCACACACTGGCAACACTTTACCTTCCACATAAGTTGAATTAGCCTGAGGCTCTCACCGGTTGCCAGCACCATGCTTCTTGCAGAGTCTGCAGAATCTCTTACCATTATAAATTACCCAGCCTCAGGTATTTCTTTACAGCAACACTAAACAGACTAAGATACCGCACTAGACTGAGCTCAAGTCTTGGCTATAGCTAGCTGCAATGGAACAGTTGCTGTGACAAATGTGAGACCCTGACTGTCACCAGATAGCTACTGACAGATTTTTGAGGTAACAATTGTAAACTAATTCTTGCTACTATTCCAGCAAGGACTCACTTTCTACTCTCCTCAGGGAAGTATCAGCAGTCTCTGGCTTGTCCCTGACTTCTGTAAAAACAAATATTGCCTCTGCAATTCCTCATTAAGACTGATGGTCTTATGGAACCTGGTCCTATTTCGCATGGTAGAAATAACCAAGCTGGTCTTTCCTAGGGTTGTTATTGACCCACATTTTCTATAGACAATCATGCTCAGTCCCATTGTTAGTGAACGGGAGAAAGGGAAAATGAGAAATGTAGACTTCAGCCACACAGCATTTACCCAACTAAAAATTCTGTTGCTTATAAGAATGTGAGAACCTCTTGGAGGTCCACTAGTAGTAGATAACCATATCCCAAGTAGAAGAAAGGGGAGCTAGATTTTTGTGTGAGTGAGCTAAATCCTCCCCACTCAGCACCCTCTGCAGGAAGTACTGTAATGGCTAAAGTCTAAGAAGAATGAAAGAAGAAAAGTGGTGTAGGTATCTTTTTTGATGTTGGAAGTATTTTCTGGAATAATTAAAAACATTAATAGTTAAAATAGTTTATTCTAGGTATGTGACTGGGAATGGGAAAAAGTGGGGCAGGGACTGTTGCTTTCTATATTAAGTTCTGTAAGACTTAACCACAAAAACATATTTATTATTTTAGTGAAATAGCTTAAACATGTTTAGCCATGTTACAATCTCAAAATAGCAGTTTTACCCTACTGCATTTATAAACTTAAATAATATTGAGTAAATACTTTCTGGCTATATTCTATATCATCTCCAGGCTACCACCTATTCAAACTTTAACCATTGCTACAGTCTCCAAACTGGTCTTTCTCCTTCTACTCTTGCTCCTACAGTCTATTCTCAAGACTGCAGAACTCTAAGAGGGTGCCTTAAATTCCATATAAACCATGCCTCTGGTAGCTGGGTGTAGTGGCTCAGACCTGTAATCACAGCACTTTGGAAGGTCGAAGTGGGTGGATCACCTGAGGTCAGGAGTTCCCAACCAGCCAGGCCAAAAAGGTAAAACCCCATCTCTACCAAAAATACAAAAACTGGCCAGGTGTGATGGCACACACCTGTAGTCCCAGCTACTCAGGATGCTGAGGCAGAAGAATTGCTTGAACCTCGGAGGTGGAGGTTGCAATGAGTTGAGATTGTGCCACTGCACTACACCCTGGGCAACAGAGCAAGACTGTCTCAAGAAAAACCAAACCAAACAAACAAACAAACAACAAAAATAATCCTGGAGCTGTACCATTTAGCAGCACTGTCATCCTCAAATCAGACCAAGGGATCTTTTTAGAATATTAATCAGATCAATCCTGAAACCATTCAGAACCTTCCAACAGCTTCCCTGCACACCTAAATTCTGAACATCTTACCACAACCTAAAAAATTCATATAAGCTAGCCTCTGCATACCTCTCCACATGCAATTCTTCCCACTTTCTTCTTCTCACACCATGCTAGCCATCCTACACCACTTTGCTGTTTTTTTAATAGGAAAAGCTTATTCTATGCCACCTCAGGGTTTTTTATTCTTGCCATGAGTGCTATCTTGGATACTCTTTCCTCCCCCATCTCTAAGTGGCTCAGTCCTTCACTTTAATCCTGATCAACAGCTACCTGCTTCTACAAGAGGCTTGCCCTGGCCACCCTATCTAAAATAGCCACTGACACCAAACCCCATCCCACAGTCATTCTCCCTCAGGAGGAATATATATGCATTTATCTGTTCCTTACCCATCTCCTCTATTAGAATATAAGCTTCAATAAGCAACACAATAAAATAGGGGGCTCCTGATTATCTTTCCTCTCACACAGTGAGGAATCAATTCTTTCCAAGAGAAAGTCAGAATCCAGTTGAAAGACTCTTGTGTACCAGACCACTGAGGAAATACCCATGTCAAAATGGGTAGAAAAAGCTGAGATATACATGTACACTAACTCTGCCCTGAACACATAGAAAGGAAATATCAACTTCCAGCTTACTCCTAAAGGGTAAGGGTCTTGCACGACATATATACTGCCCAACTTTTAGAGTCACTGCTGAAGGGCTTTGCTCTTAAATCACCATGCCTGAGGAATGGCAGGGAGAGGGCATCAGATGATTTCCCTCAACCACAAAGAACAAAGGGAGTTTCAACTGCATGATCATTCCCAGCAGTTGTAGCCCCCAAGATCAGCCCAACTTATATAAACCTACATAGTAAATAAAGAATAAGCTTATTTGAGTCTAAATGGGAAGCACGACATTCCCTTTGCCCCAGGGACAATTCCAGACTCATGGAAAATCTCTCTGTAAAAAAAACATGTGGGGCCTCTGAGCCTTCTTTCCTGGCTTGCTTCTGAGATATAGTCCCGCAATCTCTCA